TCTTCCGGTCGTTTCTTCCACTCTTCTCCGCGTTCTCGTCACCTGTTTTCGCTTTCTTCTTCTTCGTTATACCTTTCGTGGGACCCAGATGCGGCGGTTTTCCGCGATGCTTAGGGTTTTTCACGGCGGAGGGTTTATCCCCCGTCGCCGCTTTCTTCGTCCCCATATTTCGCCGTGTGTTGGAAGAGTAAGGTCGACGGCTTTATAAAGAGAGGCTGAGTCTAGGGTTTGGGCTAGGGTTTGCTAATCCTGTGATAATGTGACCGTTAACCGGTTATGTTGTACCGATTTTCCAAACTGTATACAACCGGTAATAAACCGGACCTGGTTTAAACATTAATTTTACGACGGTTAAACGTGCGCCGCGTCTTATCAACGTGTCATTAGTGTGAATTTGGATTTTTTGAAAATACCTAATCACTACCCAAACTTTTCAAAATATGACAAATAAATAACTCAATTTTTAATTTGATAATATAATATTCTAAATATTAAAATATACCAAATTGATACATCAACTCTAAAAATTGTACCAAATCAATAACTAAACTCTTGAAATAGAGAATAATTCCTAACCAAAATTCAAATGGATTTTTATCTAAAAAACTCATAGATTTAGACGTTTTTAAACAAATGTATAAAGGTTTTAGTTATGAACTGCACTGAAATTTGAATTTTTAAATATTAATTTAATATATTTTAACAGATTATTATATTGTTAAATTAAAAGTTGAGATATATTTATTTTCTATATTTTGAAAAATTGAAATAATTATACGAGATTTTCCTTTTTTTTTGGTTTTCAATCCCACTAACCTAACAAAAAACAAACACATAGAAAGATCAAATAACAAGAAGATTTTTTTTCCTTTTTAAATGCAAGTGTCTAAGCCAAAGTGCAAAAAAAAACAAACAAACAAACAAACAAAACAAAACATGTAAAAGAGATACAAGAATTGATAGCAAAATCATGGGAAGTTTCAATTACTCATATTTATCGTGAAGCTAATGGTTGTGCAGATCTGCTAGATTCTTTGGGACACATGGAATTATGGGGTGCAACGGTGATTGAAACACCTCCCCCAGATCTCATCCCTCTTCTGAGAGCTGACATCATAGGAGTTTCCCTCCCGAGGATTTGTCCTGTATAGGTTTCATTAGTTATTCCCTTCCAAAAAAAAAAGAGAGTTTTGTCCTCTAAGAACCGTCTAACACTAAGAAGTGGCCAAAGGGCATAAAATGATCAGAAGATGAACTTGAGAACAACTAGAGGCAAGTTTCTTCCTCCGAAACAACAAGCAGAGGGCTGAGGCCACAACTCTTGAGACGCACATCATGGTTTCTCTCCGGACTGCGATCGATTGCGGAAGCTAACAGAGAATCGCCTCTGACTAGACAATTCGCGGGTTTAAGAGAAACTCTCACATAGAGCCTGCAAACAAAGAACAGAACATGGAAGAGGAGTGTTAGAAGAGATCAAGAGGTCAGGAAACAAGACATGCCAGCAGTAATCCACAACAGGACAAGAGCTAAAGCCTTGTGGATGGATGCCAGTACAATAATGTTGCCACTAAACACAATACTGACAGTGTTTACACCAGCTAGAACACAAGAATGTGTTACTGAAAAAAAAACAAGCACGACATCTGCAAAGGGGCGGGGCAAAAAAACAACAGTCTCGGAATGATAGTCACAGTACAGACAGCTGCAATTTTCAGAAGATACCAACGGCAATTCAAGCCAAAGTTTAGCGAAATTTCTGGTCGGGTGATGACAGTTTTGCTTGTGACAGGAGCTGACATCTTCGGAAGAGACCTTCACAGGAAGATTCGAGACTCGGTAGTACCATCGTAGATGAATGAACCGATAAGTCTGGTTGAAGGGTAGGAACCTACACGAATTGGGATGCTGCTAGTGACTTGCCATTATCCATATCCTCTCTAAGAAAACCATAGTTCTCAACAATGGCATTACTTTCTCAGAAGAGAATCATAAGAGCAGATGAATGTGACAGCTTTGTGCATGAATCAGTGTGGGAAGCTGATAGGTGTCCCACATTGGAAAATGAGAGGGATTTGGGCCAATATATAAGTAAGGGTCAAACCTCTTAAGCTAGCTTTTGTGGTGGAGTTAGGACCTAAACCTTATTAATTGGTATGAGAGCCTAACTCTCTACTTCCCGGTGGGCCTTTGACGAGTCGTTCTCCTGCGGATATGCAGTCGACTCGGTGGTTGTGGGACGGTCGGGAGAGGAACGGTCGAGGATGGACCGAGAAGCCGCCAGTGATCGAGAAGCCGCCATCGACCGAGAAGCCGCCAACGACCAGATTTGCCCCAGCGCCGGATAAAGGGGGCAGTATTGATAGGTGTCCCACATTGGAAAATGAGAGGGATTTGGGTCAATATATAAGTAATGGTCAAACCTCCACTCTTAAGCTAGCTTTTGTGGTGGAGTTAGGACCTAAACCTTATTAGAAGCTTCTAATATTCCATGGTTGGATGTTTAAAGATCATTGTCTCCAACGCCAGTTTCATTACCATCACAAGCAAACGACACAATCACAATCACGATCATTTCAAGTTTCGAAATGAAGCATGCATTCGATTCTTACCAGACACGGCAATCAGGATGATGCAGATGGAATCATGCCGGTCGTCCGGGCATATGCGAAAATGTCGCCGGCGTCGATGACCGGACCGGCGTCTCCGATGGGCTTCAGCTTGTATTCCCTCCCTATCGTGTGATTGATCAACACACTATCGGTTTCCTTCAGCTCGATCGTCACCATGCCCCCTGTCTTGCACTCCTCACATACCTTAACTTCCGATTCCAGAGGGTAAATCTCGTCGGTCGCCACTGAGTTCCTGAAGAAGATCCGAGCATACGATTCAGCCACCACCGCCTTCGTTCCGGCGGCGCCCAGAGCTACCGGAGCGTGCTCGCGCGACGATCCGCAGCCGAAGTTGTCACCGCCGATGATTATCGAGTAGTTTGTCTTCATCTCACCAGGCTCCACGAAGCGCGTGGTGTACGAAGCCGGGAGGCCAATGAACGCGTAGGAACCGAGCTTCTCGTACTCGGCCGGGTTCGAGGGGACGAGGGTGTGGTACTCGGAGGGGATGATCTGATCGGTGTCAATGTTGTCACCGACGACATAGCAGAGGCCATGAAAGGTCTTCGTGGCATCCGTCTCCACCGCAGAAGACGCGGCGACACACGGCGGCGAAATAGAGAAGGAGGAGGAAGGAGAAGAAACTAAGGGCTGGAAGGAGGCGGTAGAGGAGGAAAGGAGTTTGAGGACTGGAGAATGGAAGGGAGAGAAGGAAAGTTTGCGTGGAGGAGAAAAAGCTCGGGCCAATGTAGGGTTAAAGGATTGCAAAGAAGCCGCCATTGTTGCGATGTGGTTAGAACACGCGAGTCAGATCGTCAAATGGCGAAAACAAGACGGGTAAATCGTGACGATGTTAATCACTTCTTATGTGTGTTTCAGTTTTACAGTTATGTATTTGATTTTGTTTTGTTTTGGTTAGTCATAAAAGACCGAGTCTTACGTTTGTTAGTGGCTCGAGTGTTTTCTGGATTATTTCCTTTTGATTAGGAGTTTATTGCAAGGTTGATTTTGGCTATAAATAAAACAAAAAGCACCGATGGGTATTGCATCGGACCAAGAAAAAAATTTCCCAGAAACTTCCCCTGTTTGTTTTTGGTTTCCTTTGTTCTCCAGAAAAAATCACCAACGCTTCCCGGTGGTTCTCGCTTTCAAAGTGGTATCAAGAGCACGGTTCCGAAGGGTTGGTTCATCCCGAAGTATATGTCGTACGAAGAATCATCAGGGAGTTCAGGCCGAAGTGGACTCTGCGGCAATGGTGATCGGTCGGCAACGACGACGACGGTACAAAGAACTCCGTCGAAAGATGGCAGCATGTCTCTGCAATTTCCGATGCTTACAAAAACCAATTATGACACTTGGGCGATCAGGATGAAGGTGACATTGAAGGCACAACGAGTATGGGAAGCTGTGTCGACAGAGGGGCCAGTTGACCCTCAAATGGATATGATGGCACTTGCTGCCATATATCAGGGAATTTCGGAAGAAACATTGCGGCAGCTCGGTGACAAAGACACGGCAAGAGAAGCATGAGATGCTCTTAAATCTATAAACCTTGGAGCAGAACGAATCAAGAAGGTTCGAGTGCAGTCTCTTCGAAGGGAGTTCGAAGGGCTTCGTATGAAAGAAACGGAGACAGTGGATGAGTACGCTGGACGGATCACCACGCTTGTGAACCATCTGAGAACATTAGGCCAAAATGTTCCAGAGGTACTAGTGGTGGAAAAAATGCTTAGATCTGTAACATCTAAGTTTATTCAGCTATCTTGGTCAATGGAACAATTTCAAGACTTGAGCAAAATGAGTGTGGAGGAAGTTACGGGATCATTCAAAGCGCATGAGGAACGCTTGAAAGATCTTGACTCAAAAGGAGACGATCATGCCTTGCTTACCAAAGGAGAATGGAAAGCACGTGTTGAGTCTTCCAAGTCCAAAGGAAAGAAACCCCAAGAGCAGAGTGGCACACGGGGTCGAGGCCGCGGACGTGGCAGGGGACGCGGTTCTAATCGAGGAGATGGTCGAGGACGCGGTAATAGTCATCCCGGCAGCGGCAGAGGCCAGGGTGAGGATGAGACAAAAAAATTTGATTTTAGCAACGTACAATGCTATAAACGGCATGAGTTTGGCCACTTTCAATCTGTGTGTAAGAAGAAGGATGACAAAGCTTACTTGATAGAAACCATGGAGGACAAATCTACCCTTCTAATGATGGATGCATGTGAGCTCATTCATATAGGTGTCAATGAACACCTGATGCTAAATGAAGATCGTGTTATTCCACTTCTTTACACGGAAGCATCATCTCTGTGGCATTATGATATTGGGGTTAGTAATCATATGACGGGGAACAAAGAGGTGTTAAAAGACCTCGATACAACAATCAAAGGAAAGGTGCGATTCGGAGATGGATCTATCATCGAGGTGGAGGGTCGTGGAACTGTCATCTTTGAGTGTAAGAATGATGATTTGTTTCATTTACAGAATGTTTATTATCTACCTCGTTTAAGATCCAACATTATAAGTCTTGGCCAATTCGACGAATCTGGCGCAAGAGTGGTGGTACAAGATGGTGTGCTAAGGGTTTATGACAGGAACTGCACTCTGGTGGCCAAAGTTCCTCGTGCTGCTAATCGACTATACTCAATGTCGATGACTCAACCCGAATCTGCTTGTCACATGGTTAGCTGCTCCGATATCTCCCGACTTTGGCATGCTCGGTTTGGTCATTTGCATTATAGAGCATTGCAGAAATTATCTCGTGAAAGTCTGGTTCGTGGTCTTCCTACAATCAACGAGACCGACCATCCTTGCGAGAATTGCGTCATCAGTAAACAACATCGAAGCAGCTTCCCGACGATCGGGAACTATAAAACGAAGAATCCCCTTGAACTCATCCATGGAGATATTTGCGGCCCTATCTCTCCTATTACACCTGGTGGTAACAGAACGAATCAAGGAGGCGAATTCATGTCTAATGCCTTCAAGAGTTTCTGCGAATCGCGAGGAATTCGCCGACAACTCACTGCACCGTATTCTCCTCAGCAGAACGGGGTTGTAGAACACCGTAATCAGACCGTCGTCGAGATGGTCCGTTGCCTACTTCATGGGAAGCAAGTTCCGCATTCATATTGGGCAGAAGCTGCCAAAACCGCTGTGTATATACTCAACCGCTGTCCAACCAAAGGAGTCGACAACATGACACCTTACGAAGCCTGGCATGGAAATTCACCGTCTGTCGGGCATATGCGTACGTTCGGGTGTATTGGCTATGCTAAGACAATAAGAGCTCATCTGAAAAAATTAGAGGATCGAAGTCAGAAGCTTGTGTTGCTTGGCTATGAATCTGGTTCAAAAACCTATTGACTTCTGAATCCAGGTACCGGTAAAATTATTGTAAGTCGTGATGTTGTCTTTCAGGAGGAGGAGAGTTGGAATTGGCAGAACCTGAAGTCAACATCACTTGGTGTCTCTGGTGGATCCTTAAACATCACATACAAAGGTCAACGACTTGTACCAGATCCCAATACACAGCCTCAAGAAGTACAGAATGAGGAATCTGCAAATTCCTCACCTATTAGAGAGACATTTGGAATTTTTGGTGCAGATAGTGAAGGGAACTTCACACCAGGTGTTACCGAATCTAGTTCCGATGAATGTCCAAAAAGGTACAGAACCTTGCAGGAACTCTATGACAGTACCATTGAAGTTGAACCGGACTTGGAATTATATCTTGTAGCTGCAGAGGAACCTGGATCGTATGCAGAAGAAACCTCCAGTGACGAATGGCGACAAGCCATGGCTGAAGAAATGGATGTTGTTCGAAGAAATGGAACATGGGAACTTACAAAGCTCCCAGAAGGTCACAAAGCCATTGGATTGAAATGGGTTTTTAAAGTCAAGAAAAACCCACATGGACAGATAGTCAAGCACAAAGCTCGGATCGTCGCAAAGGGTTATGTGCAACAAAAGGGAAATGATTACGAAGAAGTGTTTGCGCCAGTGGCTCGGTTGGAGACAATCAGATTACTCTTGGCTTTAGCTGCTCAAAATGGATGGAGGGTTCACCACATGGATGTGAAATCTGCGTTTTTAAACGGAGATTTGATCGAGGAGGTATATGTGTCTCAACCCATCGGATTTGTTGAGAAAGGACACGAGGAGAAGGTTCTACGACTCAAAAAGGTACTTTACGGCCTCAAACAAGCTCCAAGAGCATGGAATGCCAAATTGGATAGTTGCTTGAAAGGGATGAGATACGAGAGATGTTCACTTGACCCTGCTGTGTATAAGAAGTTCAAGATAGGGGATTAACAGATAATCGAAGTTTATGTCGACGACTTGATAATCATGGGTTCTAACCCTCAGGAGGTGATGATGTTTAAGAAACAAATGATGGAGGCTTTTGAAATGAGCGATCTTGGTTTATTGAGCTACTACTTGGGAATCGAAGTGAAACAACAAACTGGGAGCATCACCATATGTCAAACCAAGTATGCAGAAAAGGTCCTAGAGAAGCAAGGAATGTTGGAGTGCAAGCCATGTCGTGACCCCATTGACACGAGAACCAAATTGAGCAGAGAAGATGAGAGTCCACTAGTTGATTCTATGGTCTACAGGAGTATAGTTGGCAGCCTGAGGTATTTGGTCAACACTCGACCAGATTTGGCTTTCGCAGTCGGAGTTGTGAGTCGGTTTATGGAAAACCCAACGGAGAAACATATGGCTGTGGTAAAACAAATCCTTAGGTATGTAAAGGGAACATTGAACTTTGGGTGTTGTTACGTGAGAGATAATTAGGAGGAGTTCAATCTCGTGGGGTATTGCGATAGTGACTTGGCAAGAGATATCGACGACCGGAAAAGCACCACCGGTGTCGTTTATCTCCTCGGCAGCAATCCTGTAAGTTGGACTTCTCAAAAACAAAAGATCGTAGCTCTTTCGTCTTGCGAAGCGGAGTATGTGGCGGCTACGGCTGGAGCTTGTCAAGGAATTTGGTTTGGACGGTTATTGAAAGAGCTGCAGGTACGAAGAGTCGGGAAGATCATTTTGCGGATTGACAACAAATCAGCCATTGCTCTTTCTAAAAATCCCGTCAATCATAGCAAGAGTAAGCACATAGATCTCCGATATCATTTCATCAGGGATTGTGTGCAGAAAGGAGATATTGAGGTTGAATATGTGAAGACAGAGGAGCAACTTGCGGATGTGCTAACGAAGCCGGTGGCACGAGACAGACTTCACGGCATCAGCGACATGATGGGGATCAGAAACGTGAAGACAGAGGAACAAGCTTAAGGAGGTGATTGACGATGTTAATCATGTTCTTCTGTGAGTTTCAGTTTTACAGTCATGTTATTTGATTTTGTTTTGCTTTGCTTAGTCATAAAAGACCGAGTCTTACGTTTGTTAGTGGCTCGAGTGTTTTCTGGATTATTTCCTTTTGATTAGGAGTTTGTTGCAAGGTTGATTTTGGCTATAAATAAAACAAAAGACATCGATGGGTATTGCATCGGGCCAAGAAAAAAATTTCCCAGAAACTTTCCCTGTTTGTTTTTGGTTTCCTTTGTTCTCTAGAAAAAATCACCAACGCTTCCCGGTGGTTCTCGCTTTCAAATCGCTCAGTATATACCAAACCTATCGAGTAATTTACCGGATACACTCAAAAAAAAATATAACCCATTAAATTTTATTACCCTTAATAATAATATAACATCGTAATTGATTCTAAATACAGTTACAATTGATTCTAAACACAGTTACAATTGATTCTAAATGAGGTGGCAAAAAATACATCTAATTGTTTGCAAGAACTTTAGTTGTTATACGATCGTAAATACTTTTTTTTTTAATTGTATGCTAATTATATAACATTCGTAATAAAATCGTAAAAATTATAAAAAAAAAAGTTATTTCGAAATTTTTAAACCTAAAAGTGGTATAAAATTGAAAAAAAAATTTACTTTTTTTTGTTTTGTTTTTGTGTATCGCTGAAATTAGTGGTGACACCTTTGGTATATGATTTTCCCAAACAAGACAGATAAAGTAAAACCTACTTATATTTACGAAAATGCCATTACCACTTTTGCCCGTTTTGTTCGTAACCTCCCCTCACCTGGATCTTGTCGAAAAGCAAAACAGTGATTCTATTGCTAAGCCCAAAATTAGAACACTCCGTATAATGATAGACATTAGAATCCATGTCCGAAACAGAGAAGAAGAAGAAGAAGAAGAAGAAAACTGTGGGAAATTCTATGGCTTTGATCATGGAATTCTGTGGTTCATTGGTTTATATAAAAATGGAGATCTTCTGGTTTCTTACGTTAAAAGTTAGAAAGTAGATCTTTGTCTCATCCATTTGGTAGCAGACCATTTCTCTCCCGACAGAACCTCGCATCCCCCGTGTATGCTTCTCGGATCCGACTGTCCGTCCAGTCCCTGCCCCCAACACACAAGATTCCCCCGACGTTTCAGCGTAATTCTCATAAACAGTTCCCGTCGTTACGAAAACGAAAAAAAAAAAGACTGGAGGAGGCAAAGGCAAAACAAACGTTACCATGCTCCAGAAGAGCACTGCGTCTCCCTTCGCGGGTTTCACCGAGATTCCCTTCATGATCTTCCCTCCGCAGGTGCATTCCCCTTCCCCCGCCTGCATCCATTCAGACACAGATGGTTCTGTTTTTAACATTACATAGTGTTCCACCATTTGTCTTTGATTGTTTCTTTTTCTAGGCTCCACATTCATATTTCTACTCGGCCAGAAAAGGGTAATGGCGGAAATTTGCAAGCAGAGAGACCGTGGAAGGGAAACCCGAGAGAAGAATTTTCGAGTTATTACCAGAGGGAAGTATGTTTCCCCTCCTTCGACATCATCACTTAGATACATAAGCATTGTTGCTACGCGCTGGCCACCTCGTCTCAAGTTGAACTGTCACAAAGGGAAAAAGAAACAAGGTCACTTGTTGTTCTAACAGCGGAAAAAAAAACAGAACAGGATAAAAAAAGTGCAGGTTACTTACGGTGTCGGAGAAGTAATCATGGTGCGGTTTGTAAAACTGACTCGGCTCGTATCTGCGCTGCATCATATTCGGTCCATCAATGGTGAAAATCCGATCTTTGCTTCTTTTACAAATTTAGTTATTTTGAAACAAAAAAAGAAGTTAAAACGCAAATCGACAACCACGGACCTTAGGACTTGAACGAGTTCCCCGTTTTCCTCGGGCACTTGAGAAAAGACAGAAATCCGCTTTTCGATTCCCTGACAGCACGAGTCAAAAGGAAAATATTAACGAGGTTGATCATCCGTGGCATTACAAGACCGGAAGATATCGAAGAATAACCTACCTGAATTATCGGATACTTTCTCTCTTCGTGACTTAGGAACATACCCGAGCTCGTTCTTACATTGCTTTTGACTCCCTGAGAAACAAAAGAAAGCAGGGATAATTTCTATAGAACCGATGAGGAGTTTTTGGACAAGAACTTAGAATGAAACGACGCATCCGAAACTCGATCGTAATGAAGAAACTGGCAATACCTTCCCGGTTTTTGCATCCACGACAGTGGAAACCTGAAGGCGAGGCCGGGCTATAGCTCTCAGGTAGTCACATTCCTGCCCAAAAAAAGAAAAGAAAAGAAAAGCCGAACCCAAACATAAGGAACACATTCGAGACAGAAGCCAATCTCCAGAAGCCAGTTTCCGTTACAGCTGCCTCCTCCCGGTCCTAACATTCCACTTAACTCTTTATTACACAACCTTGGTCGGTCCTAACGTTCCACTTAACTCTTTATTACACAACCCTGGCCCTAACCAATGTTCGGGGATAAAGAACAACCTCGTATCCGTTTCAGCATATGAATCCAATGCAAACAATGACAGGCGCAAAAGATAATGCTGTGAGACGGATTACATACCTCCATGCTTAAAAAGTTATGTAGCACAATAATTCGAGGAGACCAGCTGACTATTTCAGGCTTGACCTGCACTAAAAGTAAATCTACATTAGTGAGTATATAAGCCTATTTCAAGACAGTTCTTTTTCGACATGTGCTCGTAAAAATTACTGAAAAACGGATGTCGTAGGCATACATATCCGAGCCGTAAGATTTCTGCGTCTCTGTCGTTTGTCCAATGTGAGACACCTGAGATAAAAAAAAGGGTCGCTCAGAACATTGTCGGATGCCGTGACAGTTGGACTATCGGCGAACAGGCAGGCAATAGAAGCAAGCAAACCAAAACCGGTGTTTTTATCGTAAGATCGGATTATAAATGGTCCAAATGCAGAATTTTGCTCGTAAAGATTCATTCGGTATGGCTCATAGAGGTCGGGCCGCTGCCTGCGGTTATGCTGTGAGGTGTTAGTTAGAAACGAAGACACCAACCTCTTGGTAGATAGCGATCATTCCGACTCCTAAGTCTTTTTAGAGATGGAAGTTCGGTTCCTACCAAGGACGAGGAATGTTTAAGCAATTCTTTCTTGTGTGAAATAGCAGTAACCGTGAACCAAATTTGAGAAAAATGGGGCATAGAACCAAACAACATAGCAAATTTTCGACATTATCCATTCACAACAACATTGCGGATTTTCAAGAAACCTCGGAACAGACCGTACCATGTATCATCCGACAAATAAGCTACAGAACACAGATCTTCCAGCCAATTTCAAGCAGGATACAACACCGAATCAACAAGAATCTCTCTCAATCAGAGGCTTCAGACACAATCTCAACCACATCTACGAGTATAGAGAAGGAGAGACAGAGAGAGAGAGACAGAGAATACCGTATGAGTCTTCCAGTTTATGTATAAAGGCTAACTGAAACAAAGCGCCTGCAGGTTTCAAGGAAAAAAAAAACAAGACGCATTCGTCAGGTGAATTACCCAAGTCAACCCGTTTTCCGCCGCCCAATCTTTCACTACGTCCGGTTTTCCGGTGACCGGAAAACCGCGGTGAACTGGACTCTGACATGGAAAAGCGGATTCTTAGCTCGACCGTGAGGAGAGGAATTCACATCCTAACGCATCACTTGTTGACTGTGCAATCGCCAAAGAGATGAGAGATAGAGAACAGAGATCTGAGAGTACCGATAATCATTCCGACAGTGACAAATGTCAGGAGACCGAACACGATCTTTATGCCCGAAGCCATTTCCGCGACGAATCCCCGGAGAGAGAGAGAGAGAGAGAGGGGTCAGTTACAGAAGAAGATCAAAGACTCTGGAATTGGCAGAAACGTCAGAGGGAAGAATATAGGAGCATTTCATTTAAGAGATCTTTTTTCAAAAAAAAAAAAAAAAAAAAAGAACGCCCCTTGTTTCACTGTCTTTGCACTTCCTTCTTCCTGTCTTGTTTTTTTTTTCTTTCCTCTTTCTTTTCGTGTTGAATTTTCAATTAAAAATTATAATTATTTTTTTTATTAAAATTGTGGGAATCTTATAGCCCCTGATCCCACCTAATTTTAACAAACTAGACTGTGAGAAAAGAGAATACAAAATTTATTAATTTACCAAAAAAAAATTAATGATGCCGTGGAGCTCTAAATTAATTGTAATTAAATTTAAGGATTAACAAATTTTGATCGATTTAAATGTAATGTATTTAGCATTTGTTATATTTTATTAACACAATATTCGATTTGTTATATTAATTTTTATATCAATTTTTTGAAATAAATTTATATTGATTTAAATATATAGTATTTAGGATTTGTTATATTTTGCTAACACAATGATCCATTTGTTATATTAATTTTTTTTATAAATTTTAAAATAAATTAAAAAAAATCTTTTTAAAATAATTTTATTAAGTTGATATCTAAATATTAACTATATTCTTAAGAAAAATGAATATTTCTTACTTTATTACATTTTTTTGGTATAAATTTTTTTCATTTTTTATTATTTACCATTATTTCCGATATATATGATACTGTTTTTAATAAACTAAATTTAAAATTGTTAATGTACTTTTAGTACACTTTTTTATAGAAAGTTTAAAATTTTACTACAGATCGCGTATGAATGCACAAATGGTCTATAAATAATTAAATGTAATAAGATATAGATTTTTAGATTGCATATTTAAGGTTAGTAATGCTAAGTAGGGGTGGCCGTTACTAGATTCAGCTACGTTTGAAAGTGCGAAATATCATTAATATTTTTTTTTTGGATTTTAGAAAATATTAAAAATCCATTTTCTACTTTTTTTAATATTAATTAAAACAAACATTAATTACCATATGATGATGTTTGTGACACCATACATGTTTTTAATTAAGAGTGTTTTTTAAGTTTCTTTTTTCTTCTGAAACAACATTATGGTCCAGTTCCTTTGTAATCGAAATGTTCTCGTTTAATATATAAATATTGAAAATTATGAAAATATTTTGTGTCACTTGAAATAAAATATATGTTTATTAGTTTGTTTTCCAATTTAAAATTGAGAGTGAAATATAACAATTCCTATCAATTCGACGGCCAGATAGCCAGAGGCATCGTTCTCTCTCCCTCTCTCTCCGATGATTTCCTCGGTGACTTCCATGGCTTCGTTTCGTTTCCCGGGCCACCGCATCCGCCGCAATTCCACGGCCATAACTTTTCTCCTACTGATTTCTATATCTGCGATGGCGGCCGAAGATTCCGGTGCCGAGATTCCTGGTTGTACGAATAAGTTTCAGATGGTAATTTTACTTAATTTTGGGTTTCTGCAACTCTCTGGGGTGTTTTCTTCCACTACGAGGTGGAGATTGATTGCCCAATTCTGCTTTTAACTGATCATTTCTCTGAAGGGGTTTCATTGTATGTGTTGATCGCGTTCGCGATTTGGTCTCGAAGAATGTAAATACGAGGGTAACTGGATCTAAAATCCCTAAGATTTGCATGTGGTGGTGATGTAGTCGGATAGATTTAGAAAAGTTGTAGCAAGATTGGGATCTCACAGGTAAGACATGGAAGCTGTTGATGTGTCAACTGATCTAAAGCTTGTCGGCCTTAGAGAGTGGTTCATTTTGGTCTTTGGGCAACCTTTGCTCTTATTGCAAACCCATCTAAGCTAATGTTAGTGCTAGTTTCACTAATGTCTTTTGTCAGTGTAAATTTCATTGATGGGATACTCTTGCTTTGTATTAAGACTTCAAAGGCACGTATTAGGATGTGGCAAGTGCTCTTTGTAGGCGATTCATGTTTCATGCCTAATGGAGGTTATCAGCAGTGGTGAAATTTTGCATAGGGTGCGCTTTCAAATTTTTGATAATATCACTGCATGCTCAGGATTTAGAACATTGCCGTCAAAGTAGACTGTTTGAGGTTCTATATTATGTTTAAATGTCTGAGGATCTATACCGGTATAGGATGCTTATTTGTTGTAAGGAAGTGTGCAAAAGATGTTCTGTATGACAATTAGGATAACCAAGACTGTGTTGGGAGTAACATTACTTATTAAAGTGTAAAGACTATACGAACTGTGTGGGTAGTAAACGAGGAAAGCCATGGGAAGGATCAATGAGATTATGCTTATGAAGTTGTTATGAGTTAATGGAGTGGTTTTACTGTATGAAGCTATGAGAACAATTTTCTCGTCGTTCTAGAACTGAATTTTAACCATCTGGGTGTCATTGTTGAATGTTCATCATCCAGGTCAAGGTCTTAAACTGGGTTGATGGGGTAAAACGTGACTTTCTTACTGGCTTAACTGCTAATTTTGGAGCACAATTGCCTTCCCATGCTGAAGAAAGCATAAAGTCGCCTGCTGCTTTCACAGATCCTTCAGACTCATGTTTCAATCTCTCTTCCAGGGTTAGTATTTCTTCCCTTTGTTCAAGTCACGCATGATTACTTTTTGCTTGATGGGGGGATTATAGATTATTATGCCCTGTCTAACCCTTTTTCCATGTCTCCTCTTTCACTGATGGCCTGCTTTCTCTTTATATTTTATTTGAAAAAAAAGTTGTAATGTATTTATTTGCGTTATGTTGAATATTCAGCACGTAAAATTTTCATGGGCAAAACCGATTCTCTCTGCTATTTTGGGGAATGGTTGCACATGTATTGGATGTTTGTCTTCTTTACCTGATTCATTGTTTCAGTTAAATGGTCATATTGCTTTGTCTATCCGAGGCAACTGTGCTTTCACAGCTAAGGCAAAACATGCAGAAGCAGCTGGTGCTGCTGCTCTTGTGGTGATAAATGACAAAGAAGGTTGGATGATTATTCAATGTGGTTATGCATCGCCTCTTATCATTTGGCACCACAACCACTATAGCCTGCTATTACTGAATGCTGTGATCTTTTTAAGTGATGAAATCTTTTATCTGTTGCCATTCTTTCTGTTTCCAGATATTGATGAGATGGGATGTATGGACAAGGACGTGCCTCTAAATATCAGCATACCTGTCTTAATGATCTCTAAATCAAGCGGGGATGCTCTCAACAGGTCTCTGGTCGGTGGTAAGACAGGTGAGTTCCCATCATTTGGCAGTGTGGTAAATGGTAATATTCATGTAAACCTTCTCGTTTAGGCTCAGTAAGTTATTTTGTTGATGCAGTTGAGCTTTTGTTATATGCACCAAACCGTCCTGCCGTGGACTTCACAGCAGTATTATTACTGTTGATGGCTGTTGGAACAGTTGTTATTGCATCAAGTTGGTCAGAGCTTACAAATTCTGAACAGGCAAATGGATCTTACAGTGCATTATCAAAGGTCAACTAGTTACGAAAGAAAAATGTGGTAGTTTGTTAAGTGACCATGCTGCCACTCACCATGTTGATAGGAAGTCAAGTGGTCATTTAACCGCTCAGCCTTCTCCCTCCTTTCAGTTTTGAGTAACCAAAAATCAACTTTTCAATAACATGACCAATCTAGGATTTTCTTTAAAACCCTGTTAGAGATGTGAATTTAGACTAGTAAGGTGCTTACTAATAACTGTCTTCAGTTTTAAGCTTTAGTTGTTTAGACTCATGAAGAAGTACCTTCTCTACGAATAACTGTTTTTAAGCCTGGATTATTTTCACTGGTCGTTTCACCTCATATTTAACTTCATGTTCACTCATGTCATTAACAAACGCCTTTGATGTCCTCTACATATATCTTACATTTCCCCATGTTTCTCTCATATCTTGTCCTAATCAATTCTGTGGACTTTGTGTCCGTGTCACCCTTTTTGTTTATTTAGCGGCTGTCATGACTTTGTAGCTAGCTTATTAACCTTGTTAGAGAAGGAAAATTGAGTTGATCTTCTGTACTTTCAGGAATCTTCTAGCACTGGAACTGACAAAGATGACTTGGAGAAGGAAATCCTTGATATAAGTGCTACTGGTGCTGTATTTTTTATTGTGACCGCCTCCATTTTTCTGCTGCTGCTCTTCTTCTTCATGTCATCGTGGTTTGTATGGGTGCTCACCATATTTTTCTGCATCGGTGGTATGCAGGTAATTTCTATTGACAATAACAGTTATCTCTAATTTGTTTATATCAACAGTTTTCAAAATTTTGTGGGGATAGAATATATGATTCTTGGCCTGGGTATTTGATAGAGTATTTTTTTAATACAACTGACTCTAGCATTACCATTTTTTTCTGATGCCATTTGTGATGCTACTGCCTTATTCATTCAGAATTATCAAATACATTGATTTTGTGTTTTGTTCCAGGGTATGCACAATGTCATTATGACACCTATGTTAAGGTATTGAAAAACTCTACAGACAATATCACTTCCATATTTTAGCTTACCTTTTTGTTACCATCCTTTTACAGATTATGTGAACTTTTTCATGCAGAAAATGCAAACATCTTGGTCAGAAATCTGTCAAGCTTCCTCTGCTTGGGAGAATTTCAGTCCTGTCACTAGTGGTCTATTTGTTCTGTATGTCATTTGCTGTCTTCTGGTTTGTAAAACGGCAAACATCATATTCTTGGGTTGGCCAAGACATTCTGGTAAGTCTCTTAGCTCAGAGCATAAAAAGGGTATATGCCCTGTTCTCACCCATGTTGCATGCATAAGAAGCTGTTTTCATTCCCCTTTCTTTTAGCTGATAATCCATCCTTGAGGCTAAAGTTCTGATAGAGAAGTTTCAGCTGCTATAAGTTTCCATCTCACAACGATAAGCTGACATTTTGAATGACAGGGCATCTGTTTGATGATCACGGCATTGCAAGTGGTTCGATTACCTAACATCAAGGTACTTTGTCGGGGTTGTTGTATAATGACGTATTATATTCCTCGCTTATGCCGATGATTTTTCCCGTATATCAGGTTGCTACTGTACTTCTTTGCTGTGCTTTTGTCTATGACATCTTCTGGGTCTTCTTGTCACCATTGATATTTCACCAGAGTGTCATGATAGTGGTAAGTTTCAATCACTCTATTCACGTTTTTTTTTGTTCCTTTTCTTTTTGTTACAAAATGGTAAATCTAGGTTAACTTACACAAGGATCAGATTTATTACCTGTTCTGTTATCTGTCTGGTCAGTGGTCATCTACGAATCTGTCTGAAAAAAAAGGGAAAAAGAAAAATTGCCTCAGATGTTTAATCATATCATTTTATGGTTGAGTTGAAGGATCGATAGTTTTCTGTAGTTTTGCCCTTCTGACTCAAAGTTTCATCTGCTGCACCACACGCATCAATGTAAAGTTCAAGGGGCAATAGTTTTTGCCGTGACTTGATCAATTGAGACATGAACAAGTTAGCTAGTCGGAGTTATTATTTGAGATAATTTCTTGTGCAGGTTGCACAAGGTGACAGCAGCAGCGGGGAATCCATTCCCATGCTACTAAGGATTCCTCGCTTTTTCGATCCATGGGGTGGTTATGACATGATTGGTTTTGGGGATATCCTTTTCCCCGGTTTGCTCATTTGCTTTGCCTCCAGGTACTTTCTTTGCGTTTTCCTTTTTGGAGCTTTAAAGAGTAAATCGAGAATCGTTATACTTCATCTTTACCTAATTTTTTTTCTGGATAGAAGTCTCTTACTACTCTTGATTGTTGTTTTTAAGTGATATTTGACATTCATTCTTTCTTCCATCTCTTTTTTTTTTTGGTCACTTCAGATATGACAAAGTTAAAAAGAAGGTACTATCAAAGGGGTACTTCCTGTGGTTGACAGTAGGCTATGCCATAGGTAACTCCATTCGTAACCGCTTTCTCGTTCGTTACATCTTTGCCATTCGGGTTTTTGCACCGACGCTTCACAGAACATAGATAAAAGGGTATAAAATGGCAGACCCTCACCATGACGTTCTGTATAAAACCCACGGGAACGAGACTGCTTTATCTGTCTTACTTCGTACCGCATTGAGCATGTCGGAATAATATGACACCTCATTAACGTTTCCAATCTCAGAAATCTCCTTAAATGCGGATTCCTCCTCGGATTTTTTTTTTTGGGTGCAGGACTGTTACTGACATATCTGGGGTTATATCTCATGAACGGGCATGGTCAACCGGCGTTACTATACATCGTACCCTGCACACTCGGTAATATCATCATCTTTTGTCTTCTCGTTCCGTCGTCTTTAACATACTTTCTCCATGGTTTGTCAAACGACAACCTCGGACTTGTCTGAAGCGTAAAACGCTGCGTCAGGTCTTGCTGTCATTCTCGGATTGGTGAGAGGAGAACTCAAAGAACTATGGAATTATGGTACAGAAGAAGAATCATACGCGTCGGAAGATCCTCGAGTCGACGAGGCGTGAGTGATCACTCGAATAAAAAAAAAGGTTTAATAGCCGACGATGATCGGAGGTAGTGAAACTCGACATATTATTACATCTAGCCTCGTCTCTCTCGTCTTGTATTGTACCGAACCGAATTCGAACCGAACCCCCGAGGTTTGGACAAATGAAGAACTGAAGTTTCATCTCGCTTTTTTTTTTTCCTTTTGTGGGGGAATAACTTTGTGACGTACACTTAGTATTTTCTCAATACCAGACAATGCCGGTGTTTGTACATATTCAAACGACAACCTCGGACTTGTCTCGCATTTTGAGCCGTGTTTTTTTTTCTTTCTAAATTTGTTATATGAATATCTGATCCACGATGTAGGATAATCAAATTTAAGAGAAACTAAATAGTATAGTTTCATAAGTTATTTTTAGAAATATTGTGAATGATTAGGTATAATATTTTAATAAGGTATTTTTCTTTTTAAGACTAAATTAAGGATGTTGGGCTAATGGTTAGAATTAAGTAGATAAATACGAAAACTAATTATAGGTTGAATTGATTGTAGAAATGTGGAAGCGATAAGACCTAACGTGGGACTTGTTTTTATGTGGAAAGCAAAAGAAGCCCTCTTTGCATTTGCTTTTGATATGAGAATTGTCTCCTTTCTCTTACGGACCACATACACATATACATATACATATATGAAGAATTTGTGCAGACAGTCAACTCGGAAATATATATATACATACATTCACACACACACAATGAAATTGGCTCTCTACACATCTTTTGATACATAAACAGCATACAAGCAGATCATATATATATATATATATATATATATATATATGTCATGTTAAATAAACATCATGAAACCTTCTGCATGAATATACAAAATTCTGAATTCTAAAACGAATTTCGATATAGTTTCAAATACAGAAGATGATGGAAATTTTGGAGGATATCCTCTCCTCAGCCAAGCTTCCAACCCTAACTGTTTTAACCTTTTACACAACACAACAATATACCCATATATATATATATGTATAATACTATGGCATTACAAATTATTAAAAAAAAAACAACCAAAGGCTGTACGACTATCCACACGTTTCGTATTTTAATTTCATCCTATCTTACATATATATATATATATATATACACACACACATGTATCCATGTATATGTCCTTTTATCATCCCCTCCATAATATTTTCCGTGATAACGTGCATACGAATCTATGCGCCGTGAGATGGGGGGATATATGTATATACGTATATGAATATGCGTCAACTGTGATGAATGATGATGATGACATCATCACCATCATGCAGACATGCCGTTAACGAGACACTGCATGACCTTAACTTGCATGGCGAGACACTTGATGTAATGAGCCGTCTCCTCCATCAGACTCAACGTTTCCATCCCTTCGCCGCCAGGAACCAGCCTCCGCAATTTATTCGTCGCTTCCTCCGGCGTCCGTCTCTGTCTCGGCCATCGGCGCCGGCGTCTTCCTCCGCCGCCGCAAACCCTTCTCCGCTTCACGGCGGTAAGTCCCTTGACGAATATCTTGTTATGATATTTGGCTCGGCCACGGAGCCGCCATAAGAGGGCTCTGCTCCACGGCCGATTCTTCCCTCCGGAGGCTGTAGCCATGGCGGCGTAGGCGGCCGTCTTGATCTCGCTCGCGCGCTCGCTCCTGTTGTTAAGACAAAAGGGTCTTTGTGTTCTGAGGTTGGAGAGGGAGTGGAGGAAGTGGAGAGTAAATACGTCTTTTCCGGGGACTGTGTTTCGGTTTTCGATAGGAGACGCCATGGTTTAGTTCTCAGTAGGGGAGAAAGGGAGATGGGTATTAGGGCTTTTATGGGGTTAATATGTATAACGCAGGAGAGAGAGAGAGAGAGAGAGAGAGAGAGAGAGAGGACAAAACAAAGGTTTGGAGATTTGGGTCTGACACAAAGAGAGGGTCCTCTTGCTTGCAAGTACCTAAAGGTAACTCAAAACATTGACTCTCTCTCTCTCTCTTCTCTCTCTCTCTCCTCTTTCTTGTGGTGGAGAGAGGTGAGATTTTATGGTCAGTTTCATTTATATACCATTTTTATGTCTAAATAAAAAAATCAATTTCATCATTATTTACAAATTGAGAGAACCACCTTGAATTTGTACAAATTTTGCAATAAGACATGGGACTTTCATGTAATAAACCTATTGAACTACTTAATCAAGCAACATTCACATTTTCATGATTGTGTCAGTTTTTATGATACTGTATAGATATATCAGTACACAATATATTGTTTAATCAAATATATACATACATATATACACACAACTTATAATTATGCCTGTGATAAGATGAAATAACACTAACAATAATTTTAATAATAACAATATAAAAGGACAAACCGTAACAACCCATTTTTTTTAAATAAAAAAAAAGAGACTTAGGGAGTACGATTAGTGTTTGGTTAAAGCTTTAATTTTAGGATTAGTCACATCTTTTGTGTTAATCACTCTCTTATCCTTCACGCCATTTAACACAAAATATTAATAAAAATTCTGACGCACACACGTACGTCTCCACAATTTCAGGTCTGGAAATCTTTTGAATTATTATGAATTAGAATTACCAAAAAAATAAGAGGTATTGATCAAAAGCTTAAAATATATTTCGTGGTGTTTAGTTTATTAATTAATTAAAAGATTAAAAAGGGTCGAAGTAAGGGGGTTGGAGAAGTGGGAGAGTGGGCCCATAATGGGCCAACCACCACATGAAGGCACATGGCCTTACCCACCCACCTCTTATCTTCTAATTTTTGTTTTAATTATTATTAATTATTCCGTTTCTCTTCCGAAATAAACATGTAATATGCAAAGATCATTATATAATAAAAGCCTAATATATATATACATATATATTTTACAATATTTTTTGTGGATGTAAGAAAGAGCAAAGAGAAGGCGGCGGCTGATTCGGCTTCAAGTTTCAACTGTCGGCGTTAAGACACTCACTTGGGACGTTTTCTCAACCATTTCTTATTTAATAGAAGACCAATAATAATTATATAATATAACAAAAACAGTTAAAATGTGCCAATACAGGATCAAACTTATCTATTTATATATAAAAAATTAAAAATTAATCATTTTCCATTTCAGAAACAAAAGCAAAAAAACAAAACCCTTCAATGTCAAATCACATTATTACCACCATGGTGGATGGACCGACGGACGGGGTTGTTCTTAATTCATTGATAATTGCAGCCTAACTATCAACTATATTATGATTTTATTCGCTACAGATTATTACAACGATGCTCATTATATATATTGGAAATAATTTTTTTAAAAAAAATGCACGTGGAGATATTACTTGCAATCATTATACAAAAATAAATAAATATGTATTACCAATCAACAGTCAACATGTAGGGTGGGCCAGTGTTGCCTATTGGTTAGGGACTCATAAAATTAATTAACGTAATTAAGACCACTTCCTAATTATCCCTTTTTTTTATTGATTTATTTCATTTCTTAATCATCTTCTTTATTTCTTCCTTCCAACCGTGGTTCGTCCGTTAGTCTCTCTCTCTATATATATATATATAATGAATAGCCAATTTATGTGTAATACGTTTGCGTATGATCATATATTATTCAGGTTGGTCTTCCGGATTCATGTGCACGTAAAGTTATCCGTCAAGGAAGGATGGAGGCTACTGCTTGTTTGCTTTTTTTCATATACTTTTCATAATTAAATATAGTCTCCAAATCATAAAAAACTAAGAATTATGAACAACTCCTTTTTTTTTTGGTGTCACGAAGACCTTTGGTTGATAAATGTAAGATTCGAATAAAGAAATAGACCTCAAGGAAAAATTCAATTTCATGATAACAATAATAGAAAAAAAAATAATCAAATGTAAATTACACAGATATCACACTCCCCAACCGACCCTTGGGAGGAGAAATACAACACACTCTGAATCCCACATTTTTAAACACTGAAAATTTGCAGAATTTGGCCAAATCCCCATACATATAGATAATAACATCAAAGGAATAAACAAACCTACGTGTGTGTGTATATATATATATATATGCCTCCGACCCAATTGGAGAGCATAAACTTAAAAAAAAAAAAAAAAAACAAAGATTGTGTTTGTACTAAACCCGACCAGGGTTTAGTTATATGTTTCAGACGATGGGAAAAACCAGCTTCGGACGTGCAAAATTGGGAATGATGACGATGATCTATGAGACAGGCAACACTTACTCGAAGTTACCGAGCTGATGCCTCTCCCTAGCGTCCGAGATATGCCCGATTACGTCTGTATCGGGTCAACAACCCAACCAGGACGACGGCGTCGGGTGTGTGGTCAGGCCAACCTCTGGACTGAAACTCGAACTGACAGAAAAATCAAGAGGCAGGTGTAGCGGCGGATTGTTTCTCCTTGTGGATCTCTGCTCTTCTCAGCTGGGTGTGCTGAGCTATACTGTTTGCAAGCCCTTGGTAGTGAGCGTCGAGTGTCTGTGTTAGGTTCTGGAACTTGACGGCTTCCGTTGCTTGCATGGCTGTCGAAAAACAAAAAAGGAAACACCCACCATATGACATCGGGGTTAGATAATAATGCGTGCTAGAAATGTTTCAAATGTTATCGACACAAACAAACGAAACCCGGTTTCAAATGGTCAGGCAAAAGCGATTTAGAGTTTTCAAGTGTGTACCTGTGACAGTATCCATGAAGAACACAAAAGGATCGACTTCATCGATTGGTGAGTCCAACTCATCATCATCATCGTCACTAAAATCGTCCTCGGAATAATCATCCTCTTCGCTGTAATGACGGAAGTCTTTTGCCTGATATTGAACAGTCACAACCAAATGAGCTTGAAACTTCCTTCACATCGTCCTTGAAACAATAACTTAAATTTGAAGAAAACTACAAAAAAATTAAGGCGAGAGTCACAAACCTTTGCCGCTAACTTGCGGAGTTTACTGTCATCAGCTTCATCTGCATCCTGGTCTTCAACCTCATCACCATCATCATTTTCATCTTCATCATCTGTTTGGAATGCATCCATATCATCATCGTCACCATCTTCTTCTTCTTCAGCCTCTGCTTCATTTGCAGCTTCTACGACAAATTTTCAAAGCAAAACATCAGTGACATGCCAAAAAAAAAAAAAAAGAAGTTAGAGACAGAGCGGTCAACAAAGCCACTGACCAGCGACTTGATCCTTGTATGCAACTAGAAGCTCGAGAAGAGCCCTAAACACAGGTGGCAACACCTCTTCTGGCAACTGACCAGCTGGGAGACTGAGCAGTGATATCAATCCCAAGCAGCAAACCTTTTTATCGTGTTCCCTGCACGAGAAAACGAATAAGACTTTTTACTTAGAAAGAGATTTGAAAGGAGAGGGGAGCTAAAGAAGTTAGAAAGATAGATTCACCACCTCTTGAAGTTGGCAGGAGCGCCACTCTTCTTCTTTTGTTGCAACATCTGGAACCAAAGAGTTAAAATGTCTTTTGCAACACCCAGGTTTTGCAGTATGCTGAGCGTTAAAGCTGCATTGTAGTAAAAGGCATCTGCAATCTGCAGAGGCAGTAGAAACATGCACTCAGACATATTTTTTTAAGAGAAGCAAATACGGAGTTAGAAATTTGAGTGCATCTATTTTTGCTTACCACTTCTATGAGAAGACATTTTAAGGAAGTTTTCTCGGCACACCGCAACCGATCTAACGTGATCCTCAGGTATGGCTCCAGCCAATGATCCACCTGGCCTTTACAAGTCTGAAGCACGATAGATAGCAACTTCGGAGCTGGTTCAATGTCACTGTCCTCCATGTTTTTGTTGGCCATAAGCTGTCATGAACAACAAGCAGAAAATCAGTCAACATGCATAGGGAAAG